GGGGATTCGAACCCGCCACCTTAGGTGTACATGGCTGGCGCCTTAGCCGGTTGAGCTATAGGCGCCGAGCCAAAGATTAAATGATTTAATAAATTAGTGTGCCTAGTATTTTCTAAATGAAATAAATATCTCCCGAGTGTCTACTTTGTCACAGTCACCAAGTGAGAGCCTAGGAAGCTTAATGAACAAGATGGGCATTGAAATTGAGGAGGTAGTTGGTTTCTGGCCTGTTTTATATTCACAGATCATATTAAATATATGATAACATCACCCATTAGCCCATTAGTAACCATTAGAGCATCTGATTGAAGGTTATATGTAGAACTGCACTGTCCATTTTGGTAGCCATTATCCACATGTAGTATTCAATTTAGAATTAAATATAAGTAAGTACAGATAAAAATTTAGTACTTTATTTTTAGTGCTCAATAGCCAGATGTGGCTAGTGGCTCCATATTGGATAGCACAGATATAGAGCATTTCTAAAATCACAAAAAGGTCTATTAGACCGTGCTGATCCAACAGAAAATTGGGTCTTTAATAAGAACTAACAAGTTCTTAAGTTGGAGTTATCTATGTAATCTTTGTGGAAAACTTGTTTAACATAAATAAGACTCCATACTTTGATCATAGGTTTTATGTGAAAATATTATTACCCTTGAAGAAATTTTCACTTGCACATTTTTAAAGTTTATAACATTGCCCATTGATAGGCAGCTCATAACATTTATGACAAAAACAGAGTAGTTTGTTCAAAGACTTAATTAGACCTAAATGGCCCCACTGCTGGTTTATGATGCTATATTTATGTTCCCAAAGTATAACTCTAATTTTATCATTTTTTTATTGCTTGGCAAATAAAATACAAACCCCAATCTTTAACTTTCAAGGCCTTTCATGATTTGGGTTCTGCTGGTTTTTTTATCTAGACTGCTTAGTATTTCCCCCACACAGCCACCTCTGTGTCTTTATATTTTTAGTCTTAAAAGGTCTCACAATAAAAGAAACCCAATAAAATGTGGCTCCAGATGCCCGATTTATCTTACATGCCACCTTTTTAAAATGAAATCTTCCCTGATTAGTTCAGAAAAATGATCTCTGCTCAACTTGAATAGCTATTTGTTAAACCATGTCTTTGAAACTCATTATATAAATTACCAAATAAATGTTAGTGAGCATGGGATTTTTTTCTTTTAACTTGCACAATGTCTGAAGGTAGGAAATTATTTCTTTGATATTCCCTGTTATGAAGACTTAAAGTTCCTAGGATTTTTAAAAGGCATTTAGTGATTGCTGATTTAAAGCAAAGTGGCAATATTAATAAATAGATATGTATTGAGCACTCAGTATGCCAGTCACCATGCTGACTGATGCATGTCTATTATCTCTTCAGTACTCTTTACCATTCTTATTTGGTAGGATCTTCATTTTTAGATGTGGAAACTAAAATTTAAAGTACTTTGTGCCTTGCTGTGGTTTACACAGTTGCTGAACGGTAGGACTGACTTTGAAATGGAACCAGATGATAGGTGTAACCATTACACCTTTAATAAGTATCCGTAACACTAACAAACCTAGAATGTTAGAGATTTGTTTGATGTCACCTTGTTTATGTTGAAATCTCATTCTATTAAAATAATTAAACTGAAATTCAAGTAGAGCTACTTGTTTTCTTTCTGAAGTTTTTTCCCCCTACAAAATACCTTTAAAAGGTCTATTGAGGGCTGTGCCTGTGGCTCAAAGGAGTAGGGCGCCAGCCACATATGCCGGAGGTGGGGGGTTCAATCTTAGCCCTGGCCAAAAATTGCAAAAAAAAAGGTCTATTGAAACTTGATGGTGAAAGGTAATTTGTTTTTGTAAAGTAGTGCATGATGTAAGTTTTTATTTGCTCATTTATACCACAGGGCAGCTGGAGGACCTGTTGATGCTGGCCCAGAGTATCAGCAAGACCTGGATAGGGAGCTTTTTAAGCTTAAGCAAATGTATGGTAAAGGAGACATGAGTACTTTCCCTACCTTCAAATTTGAAGGTAAGTCTCGTTAGTTCCAGATTCATTCTGGGGGATTATTTAAGTGGAGAATATTTATACCTACTTGGATTATTTAGGATTAAATGACAATTCCATGTGAATTTATTAAAACCATGATGCATGTGTAAATGATTACTCAGATAAATGATTACTGTTAGTATAGGAGATTACATAGCATTGAGATTAAAAATGGTGAGCATCTAAATTGAAACTGCCTAATCTTGAATCCTGACAGTGTCACTTACTAGCTGTACAATCTTGGATAATTAACTGATAACCTGTTTCCTCAGCTGATATTTGAGAAGAATTATAGTGTATCTTACTCATACAGTAGTTGTAGTTAATTGACATACTACAGGGTGGCTGTAAAGTTCATGTGCAATTTAAAATAATGTGAAATTGTAAATTGCACATAAACTTTATGGACATCCTGTATGTGTAAAGTCAATTAATAGATAGCCTGGTGTATAGGAAGTATTGAATAAATGTTTAGCTATTGTTGTAAGTGCGTATTTCTGTGTAGATGCTTAAAAATAGTCGCTAAAAATATTGTAAAGGTTCATGAGTTAAATCTTGAAGCATTCTAGATAATGTATTTTACTGCAGTATGGCTGAGTGTGAACTTTTATTTTCCTCCTCTTAGATCCCAAATTTGAAGCCATCGAGAAACCCCAGGCCTGAAGAAATAAAGTTAAATTAATTTGGCAGTTTGCCATGGATTAGTTGTACAACTAATCGGAAGTTTCAGAACAGACATAACATTTTACAGCTCTCAAGTATTATTTTAATTCTGATTCCAAATAAATTATTGGGTGGTGTTGAATGTATTCTTGAGTGTATTGAGTCCTGAGTTTTAGGGTTGTTTTTAAATCCTTTCATTTGATTGTTATGAAGTATTTGGAGACCCTGGCTAAATGAGGCACAATTTGCCCAAACCCTGCCAGACTCTACGCAGTTTTCAGGTGTATTCTTTTAGTGGTAGAGACTTAACTGCTCCAAGTGAGCCACCCTTACCTAAGGGAATGTTTACTGTGAAGGGATATTATACCCTCTGCAATACTAAGAAATGGTTTAGAAGTCCTTTGGCATAGCTTTCTCAGGAAATCCAAGTAATTTTTAATACGTACAGGAACATCTGTTATGTTTTAACTCCCATCTCCTCAAATGTTAATGCATTATCCTATTAGTCCAGGTCCCTCGTCTTTGCTTGCAGATCACGGAGTCTATTATAGTTCTACACAGTGAGGAGGGAAAGGTGGGGGACACAGCAGGAGGAAGGTAATGTAAAGGAACTCACTGTAAAAGATTGAACTAAATGGTAGTGTTTTGTCCAAGTAACGGAAGATCCAACAGATATATCCTGGATAAGTGGCATATAGACACCATCAAAATTTCGATAACTAGGTCTGTCTAGGCACAGTGGCTCACACCTGTAATCCTAGCACTCTGGGAGGCCGAGATGGGTGGATTGCTTGAGCTCAGGAGTTCCAGACCAGCCTGAGCGAGACCCCATCTCTCTTAAAGATAGAAAAAACTAGCCAGGCGTGGTGGCAAGCGCCTATAGTCCCAGCTACTTGGGAGACTGAGGCAGGAGGATTTCTTGAGCCCAGGAGTTTGAGGTTGTTGTGAGCTGTGATGCCACTGCTGTCTACCCATGGTGACAGAATAAGTCTCTGTCTCAAAAAAAGTTAAAAAAATAACTGTAGATGACTCTCATGGAAAGTTATTTTTTAAAAAGGAAAAGCAGCTGTGCCTTTTTATATCTGACAGTATCTCTGGTGTGTTTCAATCAATGTAAGTCTTAATAAACCTTTAAAGAGTTTCTTTAAAAATATGAAGTAAACAAATAGCTGCCTTTATGAGACAGCTCACTTCAAGGGGAACGTATTTATACTGTGGTGGCCATAGCTGAAGTTCAGCTAGCTGAGAAGTACTTTTTGAAAGATCCACAAGTATTTTCTAATTGTATAGGTATCATTAAACTAATACGATGTGTAGAGAAGGATTGGGGAAGGTAAAAGTAGTTGAAGCAGCCCAGTTTGCAAATGCAGCTAAGCCCTGATACACTAGTTGAACTACTTTTATTTAAATAATGGTTAGGCATTAAAATAGCATCTGATGTTTAATGGCAGTATGCACAGGTAACTGAGAAAGTCTAGTTGCTCAGGGCCTTTCTGTAACTTCCCATGGAACAGCTCTACTCCAGCTATCTATGGCATTGTGCCACCCTGGGACAACTGCAGCTGCTGGTCAGTAGAGAACAGTCTGATCTTTTCCCTCTGTCTGCATTTAAAATTTAAATCAGTTTTACTTTTTATAATCTTATACCTGTTTGACTCCTACACATTTTTTTATCTTTCACAACTATATGGAATTTGCTTGAACACCCTGGTCTCTTAATTGATTATTGAAACAAGATTCTATTTGTGATTACCTGCAAGCAGCACCTCCCACCCCCACACTCTACACTGTAGGGCTGTGCATGTAGCCCTCCCTGTTTTCTAGCTGAACCTTTAGTGGTGCTGTACATCATGGATCTGCACCAAAGCCTCATCTTACTCAGAGCCCCCTGCTCTTTTTGGAAAGGCTGCTCCAACTCTGCAAACTCCAGCCTTTGGTACTTAGGCCTGCCTCATCCTGCACTTAACCTTTCAGGACCATCTTATATGTTTATGATAAATGTCCTCAGACTTCTCCCAGGCTTCTTGCTATTTAAAATGGTTTTTTCTTCCCCCATTTGCCTGGTGTTAGGGACTGAATTGTGTTTTCCCAAAATTTGTATATTGAAGCCTAACCCCCAATACCTAACAATGTGACTATTTGGAGACAGGGGTTTTAAAGGTGATTAAGTAAGTTAAAATGAGACCTTTAGGGTGGGCCCTAATCCGATCTGACTGGTGTCCCTCTAAGAATAAGAGGTATGAGTTGAGAGGTAGGGAGCACTACTAGAAAGGGACGTGTGTCTCTTGTCTAGCGCTGTCTTTCAATGACCAAAGGCGGCTTGTGTTGTAGGCAATTCTTGCTTATTTAATACATTCAGTGTAGAGTTTTTTGGTTTTGGCTATTGCTGTTTCTCTGGTACTACCTCTGGTGGAGGAGCCTTCCCAATGCCAGCTCTAGTAAGGTGCATATATGAGGAGGAAGGGGGAGCTGGGGGGTGGTTGATTTCCTTAGTTGTACAGACGAGTTGAAATGGAAGGTCCACTCCAATTCTCATCTTTTCCAAACTTCTTCAGCTCCCATTGGAATACCATACTTCCATAGTCTCTTATTTGAATTTGACTTTTGCTCTTACAAAACTGGCAAGAAAGATGAAAACCAACTACTTTCAATGTGCCTACTGGACCCACAGAAAACCAACACATCCTTGACCTATGAAATCTTGGTAAAATCGGTGTCTATCTCTACCTCTTGACATTTTTTTCCACCTCTTTAATCCTGCTCAAATAGCTGCTATTTCCTTGGCAGACACCTTCAGCTTTCACAAGTGATTCTCTTTAAAATCCTGTCTACTTGCCTTGGGGTGGGTATTGGGCAATTGTACTCCTCATAACTTTGACAAACTCATTTACTATCATACAGTTTGAACAATTCATTCTTAGTCTCTGTCTGCTGCTCTTCCCCTCTGTCTCCATACCTTCCCACCCTTAATCCGTATATACCTGAGCGTATATGGATAGTGTGGTATAGTAAAGGGGAGTGGTAGACTGGAATAATTACTCCAGGGTAGCGCTATCTTCAAGAACAGCAAAGGTGTATCTATACTAAGGTGACCAGATGTCCTGCTTTTGGCGGGACAGTCCCGATTTTTAACATTTGTCCCTTAACCTGTGGCATTTTAAAAAAGTCCCGATTTTTGGCACGACAAGCTAGGGAACAGCGGGAGAATGGGAAGGGAATATAACATTTTTGGCTGCTGAAAAGGTTAATGTAACTCCATTTGGGAATGAAGAGGTTAGTATAACTTCATTTGGAAATGAAAAGGCTAATGCAAACTCCCTAGTCCCCTCCTGGGCAAGGTTGCCCAGGTGGAATTGGTATCAGAAGGAGACTGGCTCCCTCCCTTGCTTCTAGGCAAGGACAGTTAGCTCATAAGGAGCCAAACTATCTGGAACAAACAAGTACCCCCCCCCCCCATCCCCCGCCCCCCAGTAAGGTGACCAGACTTCCTGCTTTTGGCGGGACAGTCCTGATTTTTAACAATTTGTCACACATCTGGCGCTTTTTAAAAAAGTCCTGATTTTTGGAAATAATGCAGGACAAGCTGGGGAATGTGGGAGAACAGGAAGGGAATATACGGTTTTCAGCTGCCATGTGGCTATTTCACCAGGATATGAGTTTTATATTATTGTTGCTAATTTTATAATGTTAAACTTTAATAATAATAAATACTTGTTGAGAACTGATTATTGAGAACTGCTTATCAAAGTTTGCATTGTTGTCAGGCCCACCCCCCAGACCCCGCCCCCCCACAATGGTGTCCCGCTTTACCAATGTTAAAATCTGGTCACCTTAATCTATACCCAAAGCATCTGTCGTTTCCCTACGAAGTGGCATACTTGTCTTTGGCCTTTGGGCAACAGAAAAGTCTCAGTTAACATCTGTGACATAAATATATCATGTCTTTAGTGTGAAACCTTTAAAATTCTCTTTATGTCATCCTAAAATTTAGAAAAATAACAGCACATACAATGTATCTTAAAAAATATTTTTCTAGTCTGTTTTTTGAACCTACTAACTTCGGTATAATTGAGTTGTAGTTCAATATTTGGAAGGAAAGTGAATTTGTGAATGAAAAGCATAGGCAACTTTAGGAATCCAACTACAGATCTTAGAAAATCTTCATTTTTACATGCTTTTAAGGAAGTCTTAAAAATAGCACATTTAAAGTTGAAAATAAAAAGATCATAAAATAGAGCTTTGAAGCAGTATAACTTCAGTCTCAAAGAAGATAAACAGGTCCTTGTTGATACACACCATTCACTTGTTTATAGAGCACTTTTTCAGTAGCATGTACAAAGATATTTTACACTCTAGTATGTCCTAATTAGTACGTTTTCCCAAACTTAGTCGAGTAATGTGGCCTGTATTAAAAAGCAAATATTAGAAAGTGCCAACAAATAGTTTATAGTTACTTTGAATTTCCTCATGAATTATTACTGAAAGTGTTTTTTCCAACTTATAGAAAAAGAAGGAAAATTAAATTTTAAAATCAGAAAATTAGAAAAATATTTTGAGCTTTTTAGGAAATGCATGAAAATGGACACCTATCTATTAAAAGTGTAGGATAAGAAAAAAAATCTATCCAGCGTTCATTCATGGAGCGATAATTTGTGTAACTATATAACATAAATGAACTGGATTATAATATGGAATAGTTTGTTAATATTCGAACTAAATGTATGGAGAAATGTGGTTCATTAAACGGTCTCAACTTGCTCTTTCACTAATGCTCCTTTGAATTTTAAGCATTCGTTCATCATTTATTAGACCTAATTACATGTTAAATACTTTGAGGTTTATAAAAGTGGTTCTTTTTTTCAAAATGCTTCCAAGTTGTTACGGGTGTTAGATAAGTAAATACCTAACTGTATTATAAGATAGAAACCTGTTGGTGCCACACAGGATCAACAAAGTGCTACAGAAATTTAGACAATTAAAGATGTTTCTTGCAGCCCGGAAAATGAGGCTGTCCTAGAGGGAGTGGACTTTGACCTATCTCTCAAAAAGTAGATAGAATTGACACATCTAGTGATTAATAGAA